TGGCTCAGACATACACCCCATTGAAAGAATAGACCATTCCAAGCTTTTACTTGTTGTTAAGCAAATGTTTAAATTGCTCTATTCAAATAGAAACTCTATTTTAAAGAACTCTGAAACTAGTGATACGTGGCCGTCTTTCTTCATGTCTTAGCAGACTAAGTACAAGGAGAGATATTACATGATTTTTGATTGTGGTGTTCTTTGTTTTGAACTCTGGACAAAAGTTGTAGGTTTCATGGGTAGAAAACTGGCCGGAGTATTGTACAAGATGGGGTGCAACATAGGCGTATATTAGTTACAAAAAGTGTTTTTGATGTTTTCCTAACTAATAAGCCGTACATACCTCGCCGTCAAAATTCGTAATCAATGAGTTATGATTATTACAGAAATACTGTCTTCCCACTGCTGCGTCATAAGGTATTTAAAGGCAAGGAAATAAAATATCCAAAGCGTTTAACAATGAACGTGTGCTCTTACACAGCAGTAAATCTTGTGTACATCTTAAGTAACCGGTCAAAAGTATACTATAGATATAAAATGTGGTTAGTTTAAGTACAGTAAAATTTCACAGACTATTTGTTAACTAACTTATCGTTATTATTCTACAGGACAGGAATGGCATTGTTGATGAGAAACTTCTCTGGCCTGGTGGAATAGTATATTATGAACTAGGAAGCTCTGTCGGTAAGACAAGCCATTTCAAAATGATCTAACTTTTATCATAAAGGTGTTGTACGTTTTAGATCCAAAGAAAACACATACACACACATAAACTGACGAACTATACAAGCTGAATGCCCATCAGATGACGGGAAATAATCATTATTATTTTTTCTTCTCAAAATGATATGTGAATAAATGTTTTGTGTTTTCTAATATAATCTAGTAACAATATATGTATGGGCGCTCGACTCGTAATCTGGAGGTCGTGGGTTCGAATCTCCGTCCCAACAAACATGCTCGCCCTTTCAGCCGTTGGGGCGCTATAATGTTACGATCAATCCCAAGAGTTGGCGGTGGGTGGTGATGACTAGCTGTTTTTTTTCTAGTCTTTCACTGCTAATTTAAGGACAGTTAGTCAAGTCGTATTTTGTAACATGAACCAAAAGTGGAAGTATCACCAATCACCTGAAACCTAGGCTTAATGGTACTTCCAAACAGCTACAGATCGCTGCGAAGCTGTACAAAGAGAACCTGGGGTAATTTGGGATTTTTTTGATGATTAAGAAAAATAAATATATAAATCTGAAAAACAATAAAGCGTATATATTTTGTATTTAATAACACTTGCTACTCTTCTAAATAATACACCTCCTTCTACCCCCACACCTTCTAATCCATCACATAAAAAATCCTTGAAGTAGAAATGCCACCAGACACATCAAGTTTACAACAGGTGTTTTGTTTCATTATTAAACCATTTTAAGAATGTAAACGACCTACAGCTGATTCATAGATATAGACAAAGAAATATGGCCTTAAACGTAACGTTAATTTAGTAACAAAGAGTTTCAATCTTACTGCGATTCAGTGTCTCTGTCCTCGAATAAACTTCGAACAGTACAAGTGCAGCGGATTGTTGTATTATCGTCTTCTGGGTGGAAATTCAGAACTGTGGGTGGACTCGGTCAGCAAAAAGGAGGTCAGAACAACATCAGCAGGTTGAAGTGTCTCTTGGTGTTTTCACCATCTTGATATTCTACCGTTAGTATAGAAAACAACGAAACGTGACTCAGACCACATCACGAACATACGGTTATCCTCCGTCTGCAGCGTGAACTCTGGCCATTGTCAAAATAGTTTTCTTGTGTGCACCTGGGTTAAGCAGTTTTCACACTGATTATCAAAACCGTTTTCTTGTGTGCACCTGGGTTAAGCAGTTTTCACAGTGATTATCAAAACTGTTTTCTTGTGTGCACCTGGGTTAAGCAGTTTTCACACTGATTATCAAAACCGTTTTCTTGTGTGCACCTGGGTTAAGCAGTTTTCACACTGATTATCAAAACCGTTTTCTTGTGTGCACCTGGGTTAAGCAGTTTTCACACTGATTATCAACAGTTTTTGTATTCTTCTTCACAGGGTGCATGGTTGAAGATAGTTGAAATGAATTGTAAATTGGAACAATCTCTGCACTTTATCATCAGTCATAATTTTGTATAGTGTTAGACAGGCATCGACTATCACATCCTTTATGAAGTCAAGAGACCCTTGCTCTTATCCATTGTGTTGCAGACTAACTATTATATTACTTTACTTCGCAATTATAGTATTCAAGCAACAATGTCAGACATTAGATAAATCAACCGTTCTGCACAGGTATGTTGTGTCTAGATAATACATCAGTGTCAGACATGAGATAAGTCAACCGTTCACAGGTATGTTGTGTCTAGATAATATATCAGTGTCAAACATGAGATAAATCAACCGTTCTGCACAGGTATGTTGTGTATAGATAATATATCAGTGTCAAACATGAAATAAATCAACCGTTCTGCACAGGTATGTTGTGTCTAGATAATATATCAGTGTCAAACATGAGATAAGTCAACCGTTCTGTTGTGTCTAGATAATATATCAGTGTCAAACATGAGATAAGTCAACCGTTCTGTTGTGTCTAGATAATATATCAGTGTCAAACATGAGATAAGTCAACCGTTCTGCACAGGTATGTTGTGTATAGATAATATATCAGTGT